TTTTCCAACCTGCTGCCCAGCTCCTCCAGAGCTCTCTGCCGGGACGAGATGCCAAGCACTGGGCCCGGCTGCACCCAACCCCAGGACAGCTTCCAGCAGCGCAGCTCCGCTGACACGCAGCCAGCGAGTCCCTGAGGGGCACCAGGCCCTCCTCAACACGGCGCGTGGCTTTGAGCTGTGCTCACCCGAGGGGACAGGGGCTACAAAATTCTCTTTCAGGATCACTCGGGTCCAAGACATCTCATTAAATTGCCTTTTGGAAAACAGGGTTGTTATTCAGGCAATTAATGAAAAATCGGCACATCTTACAGCTTGAACCCGTCCCGTATTAACGCAGAAGATCCTGGATTGGCCCACATGGTCCTGACAAGCGTGTTTTGCTGAGACAGCGTTATGAGTTAAAACGAATAAAACAAAAGGCAGGATGGGAAAAGAAAAAAGAATCCATAAATAGAAGGAGAAAGCAAGCTAGACAGGGAAGGCAAGGCTGGGGTTCCAGGCAGAGGCTGAGGCAGTGCACACTCGAACAAAGAGAGCTCATCTTAAGGAAACTGCAGCTGCAGAAAGTGCTCCTCGATCCTCAGGAGTTTGACAAGCTCCAGCGAGGATTCTCGCCCTGCTTTCCCTTTTCACCTCTCTGGTCTGGCAGAGAGTTAGTGCTTAGGATGCAATGGCAGGGTTGTTTTTTTTTTTCAAATTTCCCTTACAAACAGAAGCTAAAGAAAAGCAACGAAAAGCAACGTCCATCCCAAGAAATCAACAGAATATTTCAAAGATTCGCCCCATCCCCACCCCGTATTGTGAGTAAAAACCCCTCAACAAAAAACCCCTGACCAACCAAAAGGGTTTTTTTAAGTCTTAAGAGACTTTGAATGATTGTTTTGCGAGGTGCTATTAGGACCCTCCACACCACACATCTGACTGTGTTCACAAAGAGCTGAGTCACTTTTGCACTCTCTGCATTTCAGGTTTTCTTCTTCCGCCGCAGTGTTTATCTCGCCGTTAAACCCCTCATGTCCGTTCTCACTCATCTCCCTTTGTAACTTCTGCCTTTCATCTTCCTCTTCCTCCTCCTCTTCCTGCTCCTCCTCCTCATCTTTTACTTTATGAACAATGAAGAGGTGTCTGTTCAGAGAGATGTGAGAGGTGTAGCACAAGCCGCAGAACAAGCACTGGTAGGTGGAGCTGTCTGTCTTGTGCTGAGGTATGTGTTCCTGAAACTCAGTACTGATGTCTGTCGCAAATCCGCATTTAGCGCATTTCCAATGCGCTTTCAGTTTTTTGGCTGGCGGCACGTCTGAACCCGCAGCGGTCTCTGTCTGGCCCAGCTCATCCGTTGCCATCCTCTTTGGAGATTTTTCCTTAAAAAAATAAGATTAAAACGTTACTTTATTGTTCGAGCCCACGGAAGGGTAAGAGCTAAATTCCACACGTGTATCTGAAGAATGCATGAGGGTGAATACACATCGGAATTTCGATACAAACTAAATGAAGCCATGCCTAGGGACTCCTGCTGCGTTGCCTTTCCTACCAGTACCCAAACACCTCACCCTAACATGCAGGACCTCTGCTGCTGTCCTGCGATGTGAGATGGGAGACCTGGGAGGGGTTGGCTGGGCAGAATGTGATGGGGAAGGAGAGTGTGAGCTTGGTGTAGGAAGGAGGAGCCCACAGAGCAGGGACAGCTGAGGGACACGGGGATGGTCATTAGCCCAGACAATGCTCCTCAGATTTAACTCTGAACATTTTCCCCTCCACTCAGGCTTTCTCTTCATGGCATCTCTCATTAACTCATCCCCTCCGTCTTATAATCCTGCAGCATGCTTCTCCTCCCATGAGGATGGCTCACTTGCATACGTCCCTTCAGGTGATTTTGTTATCTTCTTATCCAGCAGTCTTTGTTCAGGATACAGCTTATAGGGTTGCACGTGCAGACCCAGCTGGAGCCACGTGAAGCCACAGCCTGCCCTGGGTTAGCCAGCTGCGCTGGTATGTCAGCTCTGCTTGGGGGAAGCAGCCACCAGCTCATGGAAGTAAATTCTAGAGTTACCCCAGGTCTCCTTACAGCGTAAATACAGAGGGCAGTCAGTCTTGGCTGCGATCCCTCAATGCTAGGGTGCAGACAAACAATAAATTGCAGTGATATGGAAAACATGCATCTATTTTTAAAGTAAATGGAGCAAAGAAGCCCAATCAGCCAACCCTCCACTCCAAACCAACCCAAAATAAAATCAGCTGA